ATAAAATGAACATAGTTTTAATGTGCCTTAGTTTGCATACAAATTAACGGTATTTCCTGCCCTATATTTTAAGACGTACAATGATATTATTTAACTTATTTTCCATAAACAAAACTATAAAATGCTTTGTAATAATGACTAAAATAAAAAAATCGCAGAATTTGAATTAATAAACGCAAAGTAAGCGCCTGTTGAACTTTCTTGCACCAAAAAGCGACTTCAATGTGAAATTTTTCTCATTTTTCCGGCTTAATTTATTCACTAATGAGTGATGAAATATTTCTATATATTTTATAATATTTATTCAATTTGTTGTTCAGTGTTAATAAGCTTTATAAAAACTAGATCATTATAAAATTAAGTTATAGCTACCATACAACATAGAACTTACGTTAATTTACTTACGACTGAATTTTATCTTGTGATAGCATTCCATAGTAAAATCCACTTTGTAATTCGGTCAATGTAACACACAGACAAACATATATTGAGAATATCAGTTAAGTACCAAAAATGGGAAACTCGGGCCCAAATGGATATAGTTCCCGAAAATTTGGAGGCTTATTTTAAAACATTTGGTGTTACGCAAAATCTGCCTCGATTCCATGCAGTGAATCCAGCAGGATGTAGCAAAACTAGCAACACTGTTTTGACAAAATACTAAGGAAGACAACTTCGATGACTCCATTGTCATTAGTCAGTGACCACAAAAACCTTTATATACTGTAATTATTAGTGCATCTAAACTAACTCTTCACTCTTAACAACTTTATACTCTTAAATCAAGACTATATCAATTTTTACACTTTTATTATATATGCAATGCGAAAACTATCATCTCTGACTCTGTGGGTTGAAGCTTATAGCCCCCATCGTGTAAATATGTCGCGCTTAATGTTTTTTAAGTGAATTTATCATTAAATCCATATTAAAGTTATTTCAATTTCCGTTATGTGCAAAAGAATTGCAGATAAGCCTGGAGGTTTATAATTGCTGTGTTTGCATTTTGTTTGGATTATCATTCTGCGCAAATTATTGCCACGAAACAGCATGAACGCTGGTATGTTATTCTTTACAAAATACAGGAAGGGCTTTATGCAACGAAAATTACAAAAACAAAGTTAGAAGTTTGAACTGAATAAAATAGTCTAAACCCTAAAGTTCAAGTCTTTAATATAATTGTATATATCGAGTCTATTAAATCACGATTTCTTCCCCGTTCTTACATGCAATACAAATACTTTTTAGATCGAAGCAAACATCAAATAATATAATATTAATTAAGTATATAAACCTCATGCATATTAACTACAACAACATTATTAATTAAAAATTATAGTTTTTATATCGAGTTTCGTGAATCATGATTTTTCCTTATTTTTACGAAATTGCTTAGAACGAAGTCGAAGAATAATAATGATTTTAAAATGGTTACTAAAATTAGTTGTCAAGAATTCCATTAAACTGTTCAGCATTCGTATAAGCCTATATATATAATGAAATCTAAGAATTCCATTAAACTGTTCAGCATGCGTAAGCCTATAATGCCTAATGGAGTCGAAGAATTCCATTAAACTGTTCAAACTTCAAGCATTCGTGAAATTGTTGTTTTGCATTTCTTGAAGTCAAAATGGCGGCCATTACAATAAACTAATCTTTTAAATGATCAAAAATTCAAATATTAAGGTTGTTAATATGACTGAGTTGAATAAAATTGCTTCTAAAATCGTTGTTTTGTTTATACCGAGTCTAAATTTGTAGTATAAAATAATTTTAGTCTTTATACCAATAACACCATCATAATTGTAATTCATTTTTAATTTTTATACCATTTTCACAGACATATATCAAGGACATAACTGTCCTCGATACAATACATTTGTTTTAAACTCTACACCAATAGTTGCAATTTCGATTAAATCAATTACTCTAAAGTCTCTATATTTCAGAGCAATTATATCGGGGAAGAAGAAAAGTTAACCCAAATTACGAAAGTAGAATCAATATCCGGTTTAAGTGAACTTTATACCTCTACACAGAATGCAACGTTAGGTTTAACCATTGACATTGTTCTCTCGTACAATATATTACACGGAAAACGAAATATCAGTTTCACAATGGTTTCAATATAATAAAGGCATTAAAATTAAATAAGGAAAACCCAAATATGACACTATATTTTTGTATTGGAGGGTTGCAGTACGCGTTAGAGATTTACAATTATAGGAGAAAAAAGTTTTAAACTACATGCAATAGATGAACCAGGCGGAAATCGTAATCTTAAGATAAATATTAATGCCCAGTTAAACTACATCTGGCAATTCATTATAAGACAACTGCATATAATGAAAAGAAATCACATGATTTTCTTAGTGGCTGTTCATATGAGCCATGGCCCATGCCAGCTCGGTTAGCCGGAACGAATCATGTCACGAATTTTTTTTCCTGATCATAAAAGATAGTTTGAATGAACTTCATACTGTTACTGGAATCAAACTAATTCAACTTTGAAAATCATCCTTTTGGGATGTTTATAAAAGCCGTGATAACGGCTATATTAAACGAATATCCCGGTACCCGGGCAAACCGGCACCATATATTACTATAGGAACAACCCATCACTAATATGATCTATTGACCACAATCTGATGCACGATAGTTATTAGAAAAACACATCTATACTATATGGAGTGGTTTCGTGTCATAAAGTGTCAAACAGTACAATACAGCCGTCACGAAAAAAAACATTAGAATTAGCATAAGACAAAACACGTACACTCAACTAACCTCACTTGATAATTCTTTAACAATATTTCTACTAGCCTCTACTCTTTCGGCCAGATTCATACTTGGCAGCTTTTCCAACGGTATTCACGAGTATTTTAATTAAGCCACCAAATACACGCGGTATTTTCCCTACAAGAATACAAAACAAACAAATGTTATTCTATGTCTTAGCTCTGCGTGGCTCTTGCGCCCAATGTCACACGCTGCGCGGGAAACAATGCACGTATTTAAGAACACACCTCACTTAAAAAGCTCGTGAGTTCTTTTTTTAAACACGCCCGTTCAGTTCCCACAAACAGTCGAAGTTGAAATGAAAACTATGCGATTTAAATCAATAACAAGCGTATTACCATTGTGTTGTTAATGTTGGTTTGCTATTTTAATTTAACAAAAACTGCAATAAAATAAGGTGAACTGTGAAATTGTCTTTCAACGAAATAATTTTGACAGGAAATAACTAAATAAGAAAGAAATTTTTTTAAAAGATGGGAATCTTAATTTGTATCAGATTATAAGTTTACGACGTCATTACACAGAATACAGGTGAAATTTTCCCTTAATCTAGTATAATTGTCTTGAAATACACATCCTTTGGCTTTGTGGTGATTCTATAAAGACATATTCTATATTACAGCTTTGAAAGACACGTCCTTTGAGGCATACACAAGTACAAAGACGATTTACGGGTATACAATATACGATACTCGATAGATGTAAGTACGAACGATTGAAATTTTGAATTTTCAACATCATCAAATAAAAACAGTTATAGTTGCTGACATATACAATACACAGTATAAATACATAAGTTTTTAAAATCCGTATACTGTTCATTCTAATAGACGCCCACTATATATCTAATAAAGTAGCTGTTATCAGATTTGTTTAGTTAAGATGACATCATAAGCTCTCATCTTCATTGTTTATCTCTACATTACTTTGTTTAACATTACATGAAGTATCAGCACCACTTCCCTGTTCATTGGCTGAAATATTTCCTGCCTCTTGAGAATACCGCTGCAATGGTGTGCCCGCAGTTTGGCTCCGTTGCAAGGACTCCAGTTCATGACATAAAGTTTGTCGGTCCTGCATTAAGTTTTTCTGTTTCTTTAGAAGGTTGTAAATCTAAACATGAAATTAGAATAGTTTTAATATACGGTGTGTTGTTGCATAGCTGTTATAATGCATGTATCTTTCATATCAGCATGTATCTGGAGGGATAAACTTAAAGAATGCCGTTTTATGCATGTATGTATAAACAAAAATATTCCCCGATGTTCGCGTTATCGATTTTACGTCTTCATATTTGGCAGAAATTGAGCTCAGAATTGAAATCTTCATGCTCAAATTAGTCTAGACCGAAAATGTCACGTTGTTTTGACATTTAGGAGGCGAGTTACGGCGTTTAGAAAATTTTGTTTTCTTATACATTTGAATGGAATTTGCATGCCTTGCAGTGAAACATCCGGAGGCCCAGAGTGATTCCTTCCCCGGCAGATCTGCTTATGGAACAGTTAAAAACTGGTACAGCTATCTAGTACAAACTAATGAGGTTTAGGTTTCCTCCTGAAGTAACAATAGATCACTAAAAGATTATCCTTACCAGACCTCTCGGGAGCAGGGCCCCTGAGAGGGGGAGGGCAGGGCACTTTTCCCTGGGCCCCGCGCAACTCTCGGCGGCCCTGCTAGGGAGAAGATTGAGAACCAGGCGTAAAAAATTCCTGTGGTTCCGGTTTCATATCGCGAAAAAATTAGGGTCGGTAGGTCGGAAATGATATGTTTATTGAATATTTTTTTCATGGTTTTTTCAATAATTAGTGTGACAACAGACGCCATTTTGGCAGCAGCCCGCAACCACCCGGGGAAAATAGGGTCGCACGGTCAATCGCGTTGAAAAAATAATGGGGTCAGCAGAAAAAATTGGGTCGGTCGGGAACCGGAACCGCAGGTATTTTTTTTACGCCCTCCCTATAATCAATTGAGAACTACCTTCAAATATACATACCATTTTTAGAGATTTTTTGTTTTCTCGTTTTAAAAACTTGACTTTCCCAGCAAGCTCATCATTTATATGAGATATATTTTCTTTCTCTGTTGTTACTTCGTTGTGCTGTTTACGAGTCACTTCCAGTGCGCTCGCTAGCTCACTCAGCTGTTCTCGCCATTTTGTTTTCTCTGATCTGTGCGAAGTAAAAAGACATTTTATAGACCGGTTACTTTTGTTCCTTTCCATCATTCTATGCTTACATTATCAAAACAGCAGTAACTAGACATGTAAGTTATCAATGCACTCACATGTATAATTTAAATGCTTGGTTACCTTTGTTCCATTCTATACTTACATTATCAGAACAGTGGTAGTTAGGTATGTGACGTGAGTTATCAATGCACTCACATATATAATTTAAATGCCTGGTTACCTTTGTTCTATTCTATGCTTACATTATCAGAACAGTGGTAATTAGGCATGTGAGTTATCAATGCACTCACATATATAATTTAAATGCTTGGTTACCTTTGTTCCATTCTATGCTTACATTATCAGAACAGTGGTAATTAGGAATGTGAGGTATCCGAAAATGTGAATTAGGTGACAAAATACATAAACATTCGTTATTTAATTACGACTATTATACAATACCTGTGATTCTCTTTCTTTTCTTCCAATTTCAAGATCAATCTTTTATTTTCATCTTTCATTGCTGAAGACATTTTCATTTGTGCTTGTAGCATTTCCTCCAGTTCCTTCCGCAACTCAGCTACCGCAAACAATATTGGTTAGATACTAAGCCAACTTTAGACTATATACAGCAGACTATAATTTATAAAACAGCACTCATACCATGTTTCTTTTCTGTTTCTTGCACAGTTTCCAGGAACTGCTCTTCTCTCTGTTCTTCTTGTTTTTTGAAAAATTCCCGATTTTCTTCGTGAGCAGTTTCCAAGTTGGTCTTGCTCAACGTTAACAAACGAAGCTAAAACAATAAACAGTTTTGTTAATACCTACACAGGACCACCACGTTTGAGATCTTTTTCAGGAAGCTCAGACACAAACCACGGCAGCTTATTGTACAATACTACCCACACTGGACCATCACGTTGAGATATCTTTTTCATGTAGTTCAGACACAAGCCACGGCTGCTTATTGTACAATACTATACTACCCACACTGGACCACCACGTTTGAGATATATTTTTCAGGTAGTTCAGACACAAACCACAGCAGCTTATTGTAGAATACTGTACTACCTATACTGAACCACCACGTTTGAGAAATAAACTCACTTCATTCTCAAGTTGTTTTAATTTCTCCTCAGTCCTCAAGTTTTCCTCTCGTGTTTCCAACCAATTGCTCTGAGCTTCCGCTAAACGACGTCTTAGCCCTTCATTTTCCGTCGTTAATGAAATCTTAACCTGATGAGAAAATTCAAAACTTACGGCAAGTTTAACTTAATGAACTTTTACAAGATTGTAGCTGGATCACCATTACCACAAGTCACAACA